GGGAGGCTGAGGCAGGAGGATCGCTTGAGCCCAGCAGTTTGAGGTTGCTGTGAGCTAGGCTGACGCCACGGCACTCTAGCCCGGGCAACAGAGTGAGACTTTGTCTCAAAAAAAAATAAAAAAGAAATGGGATCACAGAATTTATGTACATATATGAATCACTAAGAGTTCATAAATTAAGCTCACCTTAAGAAAACTCATTCTATTGTCTTTGGAGCCGAGGTAGCAAAATTGTGATGTATAACAAAAATATTGTGTATAAAATTTCCAAAACCAAGCATTAGTCTAAATTGGCAATAACTGTGGCTATGAAACTTCTTGCTTTGTGACCTGCAGGTTTTTACTGAGGTAACAACCTCTCATCTCTTGCTCCTCTCTCTTACCCCTCCCTCACTACAAAAACAAAAACAAAAAAGAAAAAAGGAGGGCTGTTATTCCTCTGGCCCTTCCATACCATCTGCCGATTAGAAGAATGTGGAACCAAAATTTCAAACTCTGAAAACGTAATGACTTTGGAGGAGGAGCTAAGAAAATGGATAAATGATAAAGAAGTACATCAGTGGCTTTAGGTGTGAATGAGTTTCTTTGCTCTGGCATTGTAAATGTCAATACAATCTCTGCTGGTGTCTGCCTTTTCTGTGGCCCGGTCTGTTTGTCAATTTTGAGTTTCAGTTTCATTGCCCATGTCCAGAGCTATATGTTTTAGATTTCCCAGGATACTATTTACTTGAGACAGGTTCTCTTCCATTTCATCTTCTGTAGGATCATTAGTTATACGAGCCGTTCTGGTCACTCCTCTCTGGCCGCAACGGGAGCTGCACCCGTGTCATGCCTGTGCCAGGTTAGATTATTAACCACTACCACATTGGGAATCTGACACCTTTTGACCACTTCACTGTAAATATAAAGGAAATTTCATCTGTGCCCGCATTTTCTCTGCTTTCTGATAAAGAATTAAAGTTTTCACATTTCTCTTTTACATTATTCACTTTTGGACTTTTTTTCTCTAGTGCTTTCCAAATCAGTTAGATATTTTGGGAGAAAGTTAGCAAATGGCACTGGCATATTAAGCATAATAAAAAGAGGGAAGTTCACACAATATGTTTTTCAAAAACATGCATAAGACCTCATCATTTTGCAAAACAGGGATGGGAGCTGAGCAAGGACAGTTTAACAGAGAACATTTTTTCTGGAAGTATTAGAAAATCTGGTACCATTCATTCTTCTGTAAAGCTCTTGTGATTTTACAGTCTAAAATTTACACTGCGATGGTGTCCTTTGTAATTTGCCTTTCCCAAAGGTAACTATTTAATGCTGACTCATTTCTTTCTAAGTACAATATCATAAACAAGATACAAGAAGATTTGGCGTGGAAATCTTTGGCAGGCAAAAGGTTTGTGAAATTATGAAATAATAATTTCATATTGCTAAAAAATTGCAAAACGGCATCAAATCTTATGGTTGCTAAATTCCTCCTTGCTCTGGAATTGTTGACTTGGCCACTAAGTGTAAACTAGTTGCAGCCATCAAAGACAGAGCCAAGTCTGAAGACATCAGACTTTTACATTGACATAGTTTTTACCCAAATATTTTTCATTGTTTTATGCCTGTTAACAAGTGTTACTTGAAATAGGTTCACAAAGAAGTTTGTGAAACAGTCGATTAAACAATGTTCAACAGTTCTCTTCTGAAGTACTTCTCTAAGTCTTCAATATACTAATGTACAATGGTGTCGATCTAAAAGGAGGAAGTTGAGGCAAAATTATTATAAATAGAGAGTTTACTTGGGCCAAGGTTGAGGATTACAACCCAGGAGCATAGATTCAATTTGTCCTGAATATACACTCTGATTAGCAACAGTTAGTAGGTTTTTAAAGGAAAAGAAGAGGCAGTTCCTAAATTGTTTACCAAGAATCTACATGAAAATAACATAAGCTATTGATCGGGTATATTGTTCTTTGTATCACAAATTCCAGGAACATGAAGATAATAGGTGAGGCAGCTAGTCAGGAACAAAATGCCTTTTTGTTCCAGGCATGGGTGCTAGGGGCGTGGGGGGAGATGACTGAAGCCCCATACTCATGTATCTCTGGGCCCGATAAATTTTGTGTACCTCACATAGCTCAGACTGCTCCGAGCTAGTTTTCTTTTCTCAATGGGAACCTTTAAGAGGAGGTTACAGTAAATACTATTTCCCGGATTTCTTTGCTCATAGGACTTTATCTTTGAGGAGCATCTCATAGGACTAAAATTAAGCAAAACTCAGTTTGGGCTTCATACCATAAAGGTAAAATGGATTTTACAATGTGATTTTGAGATAGTTTTTAGTGGACTTTCGTCAGTTGTCTTCTCAATAGTATTCCTCTACTCCCTCTTCCTATAATCCTCAGTTTTCATTTGGGGATTTCCAAGGTTCTGGGGAGGCTGATTCCACTCCTAACTTCAGGGATGGATCATATGACCTAGCCTAAGCCACTCAGTGTGTTCCATCCAACAGGCTGCAGTGATTGGTTCGGGTTGGGCAGGTATCAGAGCCAGTCCAATCATAATTTTTCCTGGAAATGTTAGTGGGAGAACTGTGTTTTCTTCTTCTTGCTGGATGTGAATGAAAAAACAAGTCATCCAAGGAACTTCAGGCTACCATCTTGGCAATGCAGAGAGCAAGCTTTATGTAGAAGGTAATAACAAAGACAGCAGAGTGTAGAAACAGCGAGACACTGGTTCTCAGTGTTGAGCTTGGAGTTAGCCCTACCTCTGGACATTTTATATACAACCCAATAAATTCCCTTTTCCTGTTAAGCCAGTTGGGTTTGGTTTTCTATTATTTGTGACAAAATTCACAGTTACCGATAGAATTTACTTACCATAGTTAAGATATATACTATAAGGGACTGCCACCTCTTTTAAGAAAAATAAACATTAAATTAACCATGAAAAGAAGATCTGCTCCCCTCTTCTCCCTAGTCTAGTTTCACTTTCCCTTGGTATCTGTAGTTATTTACTGTTGCTATGACGACAATGTTCCAAAAGTGTGCTGTTCCCGTTTTTATGTTCATGCATAAGTATAATCAAAACCTCCTGCTCTGATTTCATCAAATCAGCATTTATAGAACCCACTTTGTACTAGGCAAAAAGGTCCAAAGATATAAGACAATCGTTGACTTTCCAGAAGCTCATAGTCTAAGACAGTTTCAAATTTTCCAAATAATTTCACATAAAACAATAGGAAATAAATATAGGAATTGAAAGCATAATAGTCTATTTTACAAAGAAGGTTCCACTTTTAGCTGGGCTAATTTGTTCCCATTCTGCTTGCCCTTTTGAGATCTTTTCAGTCTAGTTCCAAAAGAGTTGGCCTAAAGTAGCCTGCCCAGATCCCTCATTTCCTGGCTGCTGCTTTTTCTCTCCATAGAATAAGCCATCTTCATTCAATACCTAGAAGTACCTTCCTAGGAATTTTCTTGTTTCTTTGTTTTTTTTTTTTTCCATAATACATATTTATTCTTACACAAATCTACAGCTTTTGAACAAAAAACAGAAAGAGGCCCATCTGGCGCCTAGAAAGAAGACATGAAGCAACACGTGGGCGGCTGCAGGCCGTGGAGGCAGGTGGTTACCGGCTCTGCTCAATGTATGTGGAAATGTCAATTTCCTCTGGAAGTTCTGCCACATTCACTTCAAACTGGTCCTGGACGTCACTGAGGATTTTGGCATCGTTCTCGTCAGACACAAAAGTGATGGCCAGGCCTTTGGTGCCAAAGCGACCTGCACGGGCCACCCGGTGCAGGTAGGTGTCTGAGTCCTTGGGCTTATCATAGTTGAAGACGATGTTGACTCGCTCAATATCCATCCCCCGGCCAAACAGATTGGTGGCCACCAGGATCCGCCGCTGGAAATCCTTGAACTGCTGATAGCGTGACAGGCGCTCCTCCTGGGCCATGCCGCGGTGGATGGCGATGGCCGGGAAGTTCTGCTCCACGAGGAGCTGGGCCAGGGCCATGCAGCGCTGCACTGACTTGACGAAGATGACCACCTAGAGGGAAGAGTGGCAGTCAGGGCTAGTCTCCTGAGGCCCACCAGCCTCCCCAGGGCCCAGAACCCTGGGACAGGCCAACGGAAGCGTCACCTGGTTAAACTCTAGCACGTCCAGCAGATCAAAGAGCTTGCGGTTCTTCTCGCTGTCCTTGAGCTTGACGTAGTACTGCTGCAGCCCGTGCAGCGTGAGCTTGGTCTCGTCATCCACAAATACCTCCATGGGATCCTGCATGAACTTCCTGCAGACGGGGCGGATCTCCTTGCTCAGGGTGGTGCTGAACATCATGCACTGCTTCTCATGGGGCGTCAGGCGGAAGATCTCCTGCACGTCCCGCTGCATGTCCAGCTGCTCCAGCATCTTGTCACACTCGTCCAGCACAAAGCGCTTCACGTTCTTCAGGTTGAGGCTCCTGTTCCGCACCAGTGCCAGGATCCGGCCTGGGGTCCCCACCACGACATGGGGACAGTTCTTCTTTAACACCTCTTCATCCTTCTTAATGCAGAGACCACCGAAGAACACAGACACCCTGACGCTGGGCATGTACTTGGAGAAGCGCTCGTACTCCTTGTTGATCTGGAAGGCCAGCTCCCTTGTGTGGCACATGGCCAGAACTGCCACCTGTCCGTTGACGGGCTCGATCTGCTGCAGGGTGGCCAGCACGAACACCGCCGTCTTGCCCATCCCGGACTTGGCCTGGCACAGGACGTCCATGCCCAGGATGGCCTGGGGAATGCACTCGTGCTGAACCTCAGATGGATGCTCAAAGCCACAGTCCACGATGGCCCTCAGGAGCTCCGGCTTCAACAGAAAGTCCCGGAAGCCAGAGCTGTGGATGGAAACGTAGGATCCCTTGACATCTTTCTTAGGGGGAGCTGGAGTGCTCTCTGGAGGAGCCTGGGGCTCTTCATCTTCCTCGTAATCCAGAAGCTCATTTTCCACGTCCTGTTCTGCCATGGTGCTGAGGATAGAGGAGAGAGAGGCCCTCGTTCCCCGTTCGCCTCCACGTGCTGAGAGGAAAGCCGCCCAACTTCGGTTCTCCGCCGCGCGCCTCGATACTAGCGCGCTTCCTGCCTCCTGCGTCCGACTGTCTGTTTTTTTTTTTTTTTTTGAGGTAAAATTCAAATAACATAAAATTAACCATTTTATTTTATTTTTATTTATTTATTTGTAGAGACAGGGTCTTACTATTTTGCCCACTCTGGTCTCAAACTCCTGGCCTCCAGCAATCCTCTTGCCTTGGGTTCCCAAAGTGCTGAGATTATAGGTATGAGCCACCATGCATGGCCTATTTGTCTATGCTTTCACCAATACCACACTGTCTTAATTAATGTTATCTTTAGAGTAAGTATTAAAGTTGGTAGTATCAGTCCTCCAACCTAGTTCTCTTTTAATATTGTGTTGTCTGTCTGGGTCTTTTGCCTTTTGATATGAACTTTAGAATCAATTTGTCAATATCCACAAAAGAACTTTCTAGAATTTTGATTAAGATTGTGTCAAATCTACAGATCAAGTTGGAAAGAACTGAGATCTCAACAATATTGAGTCTTTTTACTCATGGACAGGGAATATCTCTCCATTTATTTATTTTTTTTTCTCTGCCCATTTTTTAATCATATTTTTTGTTGTTGTTGAGTTATATTAGCTCTTTATATATTCTGGATATTAACACCTTATCAGATATATGATTTGCACATATTTTCTCCCATTCTGTGGGCTGCCTCTTCACACTGTTGATGTCTCCTTTGATGCACAGAAGTTTTGAATTTTGATGTAGTCCAATACATCTATTTTTTTCTTTTGTTGATCATACTTTTGGTGTCATATCCAAGAAATCATTACCAAATTCAAGTCATGAAGATTTTCCTTGATATTTTACTCAGAGTTTTATAGTTTTAACTTTAAGAGCTAAGAAACCTTTCCTTGGAAGCCCACTCAGCCAACTTGCCCACCTGTCTCACTGGCCTGATTATAATCACATGCTTCTCCTAATCACTGGCAAGGAGAATGTAACGGCCAGGAAAGGAAATTGGACCAATCAAGGCTGGCTCCTTCAGTCTTGGGCTGAGGCCACCGTTCCTGAAATGCAGAGTTTCAGGGAGGAAAAGAAGGAATGTGTATTCTGAACAAATTAGTGTTCTCTTAGCATTGGAGAAGATGCAACCATCTCTTTCTACTATGGTTATCATCCACTTAATAGATATATTCCAACAGAGGAAAAGGGCATTCAGCTTGATTGTGCCAGGCTTCAGAGTCTCCTGAGTCCTTTCATCACCTGCAAAACTCTGATTCTGTAAGGTCTGTAATGAATGATGAGTTAACATGTCTCTTCTGGTCTAGTTAGAAATTGATCTATCAGTGATAATTAAAACATTAAAGTCTAGTTCAGAAGCAGTCATTTGTGTGATTAAAATGGTTCTATTCTTCAGAGACTGATCACTGCTGAGGAAACCAATTAACAACAGTTTCTAACCCTATGGGGTCAAAGCCAGCTCCTAGTTCTAGATCTAGGACCTAGACCAAGATCATGCTATGATGCTGCACCCCCCACCATAAGCCTACCTGAAATAGCCAGCGAACTGTACCTATTTTCTTCCCCATGTACTTATGCCTAATATTCTGACACAGACTGAAAAGCACATGGTCTTATTTGGGAATATCAAAGAGAGAAAAGATGAAAATATTCTATAAATTAGTAAAAAATAAATAAAGCAATCAATACACATAAATAAATAAAGCAATCAAGACACTCCCAGGAGTGTCTTGGTAGAAGAAAGGAATGAATACTAACTGAATACATAACAGTCATTAGGCACCATTTGGGCTTTTAGTAATTCACTATGGAGAATGAGTGGATTAGAATATAAAAGAAATAAAATGATATCCATAGTCAAATCACCCTGACACTTGGTATATTTCTATGTCTTTTAAAATGCATGGGTTATTAAAATTTTATATAGTTTTATATCATTGCAATCAAACCATATATGCATTTTTTCTGAACAAATAAAATATACCTTTCCATAAATGTAATGCGCTTGAATCATCCTGAAACCAGTCCCCAGCCTCGGTCTGGGAAAAATTGTCTTCCATAAAACCGGTCCCTGGTGCCAAAAAGGTTGGGGACTGCTGGGATAAGGCATCAAGCTTGATCATTCAATAGCAAGTCCATAGGGCCCTGTGATCTGGTTAGGGTTAGGGTTAGGATTAGGGTGATATGACAATTAGAATATATAATAAATAATAAAAACCCCTGTCACTGTCCAGATGCTTGACATTTAGATGACTGTAAACATTTAACTATAACTTTGAGTTTGTAGGTTTAGCAATTAAGACAGAATACAATCCCCCTCTTGCTGCCAACTGACTGCCCAGCAGGTGGCAGTAGATATTGCAACTGGACCTTAGAATTTGCCTGACATTTTAATTTTCTGACCTTGGAAAACATTTGCCTGAGATTTAAAATTTCAGCATGACTTCAGTATGACTCATCATCTTGTACCCCCTTTATTTCTGTTCTTGGTATGGACTACAATTTTAGTGTATAAATAATCAGTAAACATTGAGTTCCTGGCACTCATGCTAATCATTAGAGACCATTATTTTACCAAAATTTTATAACCTCTTTCCTTTTAATATGTCTTCTCATTCCTTTCCTTTCCACTTCCACTGCAAAAATCCAAATCCAGACTTTTAACCCCCTCGTATGAATTATTTTAATAACTTTCCTAATGACCTAATTGCTTCTAATCTCTTTTTATTTCAATTAATTGCAAACACCATGGGGAGGGTAATCTTTCAGAAAAATATTTTCTGTAACTTCATTCTCCTTTCAAAATGGTTAATGCTTAATCTCAACTCCCCAGTTGACTCTCAGGTTATAAAACAAATTCCAATGTGGAATTCAAGGCTCTTTTCCATCTCACCTCAATTGACCTCTCCCATTACATCTTTAGCTCCTTCATTCAAAGTTATCTACTCACATACAGACTTTCTGCCTTGGCTCGAACTGTTAGACCAATCTAGAACTGTCTCCCCTCCTCTCTAACCATTTCATTTTTTCCTACCCTTCAGAAACTCTCTAATTCAAATTCTATTTCCATGTGGAGTCACTGACCATGCCCATTCTCATTCATTCTACAAATATTGATATATAGAGAAAACCTATCATGTCCAGCTACTATTAGGCAAGGGAATACAAGCATGAAAATGATGTAGTCTCTTTCTTCAAGGGGTTTGCAGTTTCTGGAGGGGAGAAATTATAATACAGGAGTAAGTGGCATGGTAAAGTATACGGTAAGAGCATACAGGAGCCCCTGCCTTGTGTTGGTGGGGTGGTAATCAGGGAAGTTTTTCCAAGTCCTGAAAGGTGAATAGAGAGTTAGCTGGCAAAGAAGAGACAAGAGCATTTCAAACAGAGGAAGAGAACATGATTAGAAGCACAGCTTAAGAAAGCACTTTGAATCTGAAGACTAAAATCAAAACAAAATAAAACATTCAAGGATTCTAAACACTTAAAAAGTTTCTAAATGCTCACTGTCAAATTCTATACTTAAACCGGGGAATGAGTTGGTCAAATGTGCGTTCTGAAAAGATCCTTCAGGTGTCACTTTGGAGGATGGATTGGAGTAGAGCAAGAGCAGTCAGAAGTCTGTTGCTGTATATGGACAAATGTCGAGGGCTCAGCTCAGGGAAGGCAAGGGGACAGAGACGGGGAGCCACATGGGAATGTCATTACAGAGGTAAGGTGATCAGGACTGACTGGAGGAGAATGGAAGTGGAAAAGAGAATCAAAGATGACTTTTGAGTTTCAGGCTTTAGCAAGCAAGTGGAGAGTGGTGGGATAAGTGGATGATGGTTCAGGAATCCCTACTCCTTGCGGTGATAAGAACTAAGGATCACTGAGACTGAGTAACTCTCCCAAGGTCACACAGCAAGTGAATGTCATATCCCCGGAGTATGGCTTATTCTCCGTTTGTGCCTCCAGATTCATTTTTAGTTGCCCAGCTAATTTCTTTCTATTTTTAGTAGAGATGGGGTCTTGGTCCTGCTGAGGCTGGTCTCGAATTCCTGACCTCAAGTGATCCTCCTGCCCTGCCCTCCCAGAGTTCTAGGATTACAGGCGTGAACCACCATGCTCCACCCAAGCTGAAGTTTCATCAGAGGTTGAATTTCTCTAGGCCACTGTTTCTCAAACTATCAGTGATGAATGATTTTTTTAATATTACCATCTTGTCACTGATCAATACTTTTGTAAAAGACAATAAAAATAAATTACTAGAAAAGTAAAATAAAAAACCCAAATGCATACAAAATATAATTCCCAGGTTTATTATTTTTCTTGAACTAAGTCCAGTGTTCTCTTTACACTATATTCTACAGTTTTATAAACAGTCTTAGATTACCAGTCATCTTTCTAATACTTGTATTTTATTTCTGCAATTCTATTGTTGGTTAATTCAAGATAATTACCACATTTCACTTAGTTGAAATGTCCCACTGAGCTCAGAAGAATACTTTATAACTAGTTGTTTTAATTGAAAATTGTTTGATTGCAAGAAACAGAGATCCACTCAAGCTATTTAAATACAGGAGGTTTACAGTAGGAAACATTAATCTTAAGAGCAGTGACATGGCTCGGCCTTCCTCAGTGAACCCTCTTCTGGATTCAAAGCAGGCTTGGGACCTCAGTACAGGTGATCATTGACACTCATTTTAGTCTAGTCCTTTGTTATTAATTTGACTCAGCTCCATTCCATGCAACTGTATCCTTCTGTCCTACTACCGGCTAATAATTTCACTTGAATCTCTCCTTTTTTAGTTAGGCCACACAAGTCAGAAGTTGCTGGCCAATTGAGAGCTTCCGCCTCCACCTTGTGCCAGGTGACTATCCTTGGCCAAATTAGCTGGAGGTGGAAGACCAGGTTATGACCATTGCACAAATGGGGGGTGGGGAGAGGGGGAGAGAGAGAGAGAAGGAGGAGAAAGCATGAAGCTTTCAGGGCTCTTTTCAGTTACTCTTAAACTTGTTCTGATGCAGAGCACCTGAGAGTCTATGTGTAATTTGCAGAACACCATCCAAAT